ACTTATAGTGCACACGGTCGGAGGCGCACACACCACTGTTGTTGTTTACAATAGTCGATGTACTACCGCGGTCGCACTGTATAATATGTGTTCGTGTGTAATATATGAGTGCGTAATATTATTATAATATAATATATTATACGGAGTGGGAGCATTATACAGAGTGTTCACCGAGCGGAGACCGATGAGATGACTGAGGAGGAATAGAATGAGGAATGAATGAGCTGCAGCAGGAGATTAAACCGCGAGTGGTGGCCCGACGATCGCGAGAGCGGATCTAGCGGCGGCGGCGGCGGCGGAGGCTGGCACGAGGAGAGCGGTGCCACCGATTTCGTGTCGAGATTTAAAGAGATTGACGAAACGAGGTGTTATCCCGAGACAATGGCCCGGGCCGACGAAGTGTGCCCCGCGCGTTTGTGGGTCATTATTGCAGACGTCACGTTTTGAAATTATTGAAAGGAGGAGAGCTCCTCGGCTCCTGCCCATTGCAGCAGCAGTGACTTTTCGGACGGGACCGTTCTTCTTTTGTACGGCCAACCCGATTCCTTTCAGCGGGACAAAAAAAATACTCTGTCGGACCGACACGTCGCGGACGTCCGCGCATATAGATCTCGCGCGTGCGTTTCTCCGGTTTTTTTTCCACTCCACCTCGCCGCCGTCCGAGTATATTATATTATTATTATTATTATTATGTTGAGCGTATAATAATAATAATATTATTATTGTTGCGTACAGTATTCACGTGTGTACTCGATTCACGACGACCGTCACAATAGCTGCCCGCCGTGCAGTCGGCAGGTCTCTATCGGGACACAGGAAGCTGCTGCTGCAGAATGTAAAAAGACTTAATTTTTTCCTTTCGCGCTCATATCACTAAATTGTCACGTTCGAATAACAATATGTAGCGACCTAACATCATAATTTATTATCGGACTGACTCAAGTCCCGACTTCCCGACAACGGAAATTAAGAGGTTGTTATGGCTCGTCCCGTTATAAATATCGAGTAATAAAAATATTATGCTTAATAATTATAATCATTATTGTATAATATAATGTAGATAGGTAATTAGCAACGCACTCATTTTTGGTTTTATTAGTGTCTTAAAGATGTTGAACAATATTACGCGTCCGCTGCTGTTTTGCATCAAGATTTACATATTTTCCATTATTATTATTATTATTATTATTATTAGTGTACGTTGGCGACTTTAAAATATTTCTGCTAAATGCGTCTGCTGCAGGGAGATCATTGGCGTCCGGATATAGTATTCTGCAGCACTGGTAAAAAAACGAGGTGAAACGTTTCTTTAAAATAATTACTATATTGGAAACGGGTGAAAAAAATAATCTATATTATAATGATTATTTGAAGAACTGTCATTTCTTAGAAGATTTTAATTGGACCGACACGTTCGACGCTCGCAACGCATATATAGTTGTACATATTATGTGTTTATATGGGTATAATAATATAGGTGTAAATATATATTACATATTATACGAATCCTGGAGCCACAGACTACGCGCGTTGAATATATATACAATAAATAATATTATTAACTATATATGTATTGCGGTGTCTACATGACTTTCTACCGCGGACGGATAATCGCGCAGCAGGTGGTGTTGTATGTATTATCGACAGCTCGAAATAATTTTATATCGGAATCGTATAAATTACACCGCCGACGATTTGTATGTCATTATACTATTATTATTATTATTATTATTAATATTATACGAATATGACGGAGCGTGCCTCGGTCCACATGCAACGACTGCTATAATAGGACACGTGGTGCAGTGAGGAGATGAGTCTATATACGCGGAAAGAACGAATACACACTGTCACGACGAGCGCTGCAGTTTTCGATGGAAAAATTAAATCGTAACCCGGTCGCGCGTAACACGGTAAGCGCAAAGCCACCGACCGGCTATTATAATATTATTATACATACATCGGTTACAGGTATCGATAAATCACGCTATAGATCGACGATCGTCCCGCTGGCGTGTATAATGCATATAGGTAGGACGACGTCCGGTCTCGGTTTGCGGGTGGTGGGTGGTGGGTACGGTGGTTGCCGCGAGGAGGTGCAGGACGTGGGGTGTAATGGCGCGGACGACGACGACCATTGTGGCGGACGACTGCAGCGACGAGCAACGACGAGACAATTGCATTTAATGTACGAATAAAATGCAAAAATGCATCGCGTGCATCAATCGGACCGCTCCGCTGGGGCTGCTGCCGGCCGGTTATAATGGCGGAGTCGTGTCACCGGACGGAATGCACCGAATTGTCGGCCCCGTCGCCGCCGCGTCACCTTGGCGATATTATATATATTGTGGCGGCCGCCAGAGATAAATATGGCATTCCGGCGGGGGCCCCCTCGGGTCTCAAAGGCGCCGACGATCCCATTGTTTTCCGCCGCCGCCGGTGTTCGTTTATTCGTCTATATGTGCGCACATGATATATATAAAACTATGCGTATCTCTGTTATATAAGTAGATAGGTAGGTAGGTACCTAACTATATAATACGCATTTATATATGTGTATCGCGATCCCGATGTAATTATTGTCGTAGTCGTAGTCGTCGTCGTCGCCGCCGTTCACGCATATACATATATAATATAATATATATTATCATAATAATACTTCCGACCGGCTTCTGTTTGTCCGAGCGCGCGCGCGTAAAACCACCGACGGGCGCGATCCACCGGGCAAAGGACCGCCGCGGTTCAATTAGTCGGCCATTTGCATATATATTACATTACTATTATTACGTATATTGTGGGTAAGCATTTTATATATACCGACTTCAATTACCGCGGTAATCGCAAGTCTCCAGTTCCCGTCGCCGCCGCCATAAGAGCACCACTCGCACTCGGCCGACGTAATTTTTTTATTTTTTTATTTTTTTATCTAGATCGGTCTGACGCCGGACCGAGATCGTTTCGAGTGCGCATGCGTGTGCGCGGACGACGTCAAATCCGAAAATCGAATATACGCGCTGCCATGATATCGTGCTATCGGATCTCCACACGCGTGCGCGCTCGGAATCGCCTGCCGACTGTGCAGTGGACCACTGTTTTTATTTATTTTTACGTATACCGACCGATCTGCACGTTATAATAATTATTTCAGGTACCTACGTATAATATAATATATTATTATATCGCGTTATATTATCGAACAGCGACCCGTCGCGCACTCGATCGCGTGACGCCCCGACACGGCAGCTGCTGCTCGTTGCTGGTCGTAAAAATTCTAGAAACGTGATAACATCGCTATACCAGTCGTATTACTGCGCGTAATCGATGTCATTGAAATATCGATAATTTCACATATTATTTTATAGCATAACGATTTAATGTATGTATAATATAATATATAGGAGCTGGTACGTCCTACGGGGGAGACGGTAAGCTGCGAACGATCGCTGTTTTCGACGACGAATTTGAATTGCGAATTATGACGCGATGTCTTCTCACTGATCAAGTGAAGTGCAGGCCCTGATTTAATAAAATTTGGGCCAAGTGCACAATTTTTTTGGGGGCCCCCTACCCCCACCGGCCACCACCACAAGTCAAAAAAATGTTCAAGAAAAAATCTATACACAAAGTAGGAGGAAATATTGATAATAAAACAAAATATTTATATGTTAAGTATTAAATAAATATCTCAAAATTCATAAAATATTTGTACATTATTTCATATACTATAAATACAATTTAGTTACTTGGTCTGGTAAATTAAGGACATTGAAAAAATAATACTAATTAAATAACATAATTAATTATCAATCTTCCATAAAATTATAAAAATGGTAAATAAATTGTTAATTTCACAATTTATTTTATACAATTAAAATGAAATGAAAAATAAATCATTTCTATATTTTCTATATTTATATTTTTATTTAGCTATAACATTTTATCACAAAAAAAGTTTAAAAAGATTTCTTTCTTGCTTTTTTCTCTGCAAAAGTTTCGATAACTGATTCAAATTTTTTTTTATATATATTAGTTTATTTATAACATTTGTTTTGCGATATTCATTTCCGTGGATAACTGAATAACCTAAACCAATAGTTCTAAAAATGGTAATTGTGGGTGCGAAATGCGTCACCAACGACCGGTTAATCAGTAAATACTGGACTGGAAGAAATCTATAAATAGTTATTATGTATCAAATATTTCCGATGTTCGAACAATTTTCTATTATTATTATTTTAATATGACGTATTGAGGTGAAGAATAACTTATACTAGTATAAGGTCTATGGGAATTATAATTTATTAAAAATAATTAATTTAAAAAAAAAATTTTAATACAGAAAATTTTCTACAATTCACGGAGATCGGGGGCCCCCAAAAATTGGGGGCCAAGTGCAAGTGCTCCATCTGCACTTGCGTAAATCAGGGCCTGGTGAAGTGGCGTATTTACGGAACCCTCTGGTTGTTTTTACAGCATTATAAATAATGATTATACATGTATAACCCACCTCTTGAAAAATTCCTAAATACGCCACTGATAAGGTGAACAAGCCTGCAGTTCATTTACTACACTATATAGACGTTTGATTGGAAAATTGAACTCTTGGTACCTATTATTATCTACGCGTGTAAGTAAGAAAAATGTCAGTACAAAAATGTATGAGAAAAACTCGCGGGAAAAACACGATCGATTAAACGTCGCGCAAATACCGCCGTCGGAGTCCTTATCGGAGGGGTAGGAATTCGCGTCGCGGTTTTAGCCGCGTTCGCGACGTCTACTTCGTATCGTTATCGACTTGTAGTCGGCGATCTCGGCGAAACTAACAATTATATATACAAGGGCGTTATCGACGGTCATCGGCATGCGCTTGACCCAGGAGACACGTTCGACGTGCTATCTATAGGTATAGCCGAGAATTCAATCTTCGACAGGGACTTCGACGAAGTCGATGGTATAATGATAATGACTGTACGATAATTGTAATCTATAGAGAGACTTACCTTCCAGAATTGTGTCCATCGTGCGTCTGTACAGCGTGTTTCTCAAGTAGTGTACGGCGGGCATGAAGAATATCTCTTCCGGCCGCTCGGGCAGGTAGTGCACGATCAACTCCGTGTTGGCGGGTATGTTTTTGATCACTTCGTACATGGGTTCGCCTGTTCGGGAAAAACAAAATAATAATAATGATCGTCGTAAAAAAAACATCTGCAATAATATGAAACGCGCACGACTACGGTTTTCAGTCTCGTTTCACACACACGCTCGAGTCCGCTCGCGATCCGACCATAAATCCACACACGGTGTTAAGTCCCGAACAGGTTCGGCAAGATACCCGAATATAATCGCGTAATCGTCGTGAATAAAAATAAATAATAATAATAAAAACGTATTTCGGTGAAATAAAACATATATATATATATATATATATTTATATATATATATATATATATATATATATATCGAACCGGTTGTTGATGTGTGCGTACCTTTTATTTTGGTTCCCAATACGTTGACATGTTGTTCGGAATGGTGCTGCGTGATTTTCAAAAACCGGACCCAATTACAATAACGCACTCGGAGTCTGTTCACCTCGGTCACCTGGTCGTAGCAACCGAATCTGTGCCTTATCTGAAACAATCGAAACGCACACGTATATGGTTAGGTTCGTGAACGAAATACATATTATAAGAAGCTGGTCCGAACGAATTTATTCGTTGGGATAACGATTACGTATACATGTATATAATATATTTTCTATACTAAGTATGTGCGCCGTACTCGAAGAGACCTACCCGCAGCTATTATACACGTTTACATTATATTATATATCGAGTTGCAGGTTGGAAACGAAAACCTTTTAAAGGATTCATTAATTTATAAATGAATAAACATTATAAAAGAGCAAAAAACCGATACTGCTGCTGCTGCTGCAGTAGCAAACGACAAAAAAGTATAATAATAATAATAATACACAATCGTTTCTGCTACAGGTTGCCGTTTGTATAATGGAAATGCGTATAATAAGCGAGATTTGTTAACGAGTTTCAAATGCATTTTCAATCGTATATTTATAAGACGCCGTCCGTCTCTTATCGAAAACTTTGTCGACCTCGTTTACGCATGCCTGCAATAAGTGTACATAAGGTATTATTTGTATTTACACTTGTGAGTGTAGAAATTAATATTGCATTTGTCCCGCAGTAATTGTATTTGCCGATAACTCTTCCATTAAAATATTATAATATAGGTACGAGGTAAGGACGCGGTACGGCGACGATATGACGACGGTGAATTTAATTTCTTTTAGGAAACATACGCGTTCGACGCAGTTAGAATTGGCGGCGGTTAGTGTTTTTTTTATATAATTTTTTTTTTATAATTGGCTGACTAATAATTTACAGCGACCGATGAGACTCGATGAGACGATGTACCTATAGGTACGTTTGCCTACGGTGTTCACCCCGTGTTCAGTGCGTGTGTGTGGCGAGCGTGCAATTATAACGGACTAGCGACAAATATGCAGTGCGGTGTACATCGAAGCGACGGGGCGTTGTATGTGTGTACGGGAAGATAAAAAAACCTACGATAGGATTTCTTGAATATATTTTTCTTGTTTGCCAGTGTTGTTGTGTACGTTTGATTTTTTTTTCCCCGTCCAAACGGTAATTACAAAACGATTTTAAGCTTGCGCAGCAACTCTGCGGCGGCGGCGACGGACAAAGTGTGTGTGCTAACAATTAATAGCCAATTAATTAACACGTATATTATATATTATTATGCAGCCTGCGATGATCATTATCTTCTGTAGGGAGAGCTGATAATAAACCGATAATTTATTACGACTCTGCAGAACGCGGCTGATACGCAGTTAAACTTGTGCGATTATCCGGCTGTATAGCTCCGCGGAGAGTGTGCATATAGGACGGGTCCGGCAGCAGTTAGGTGCACGCGAATAACACCCAATCACGAAGTTATATTATGTACATGTGTACAAGTATGATAAGTACACGTTGAGCATAATATTATATCCGAGAGTGCCACCGAGTAGCTATATCTATATGATATGGTGGCCGAAGAAGTCTTATAATAATACTATGAGAACGCACACGGAGAAACCATAAAAAATATAACACGCGGTTAAATCGTAATTAAAACAAAACAAAAAAAAAAACTAATAAAAAAATTAATAAACCACATAAACACGCCACGACAACGGCGACGACGACGACAATATCATTCCATAACGTAGCAGCACGGACACATAGCTTTTGGATAACGCATATAAATATTATAATAACCGAACAATATTCGATCAGATTACTATGTGTACGTATAATAATATGTAATATTAATATTATTTACTCGGCTATAGTGCAACCGATAATAATATTAAGGCGCGTCACGCCTAACACCCCACTGCCATGTTCGGGAAACAGACACGATGATTGTTATATATTATTTTGAAACAGAATAATATTATTATTGCCATAATGAGTGTTATTATTATTATTGCGAAAATCCGAGTAAAACCACTAAATTATTCCAAGTGGTTTTTTTTTCATACCACTGCTTCGGTCATAATGTTGCCATGTTGGGCCTGGGATACAGTCACTAGTCAAATATCAATTATAATTTTAATATTATTGTATATATTTCAAATTTCCTAGTTTCGCAATCGCCTTCAGAAAATTCGTAGACCAGCGGTTTCAAATAATATTGATATAAGAAACATAAAATGGCTGGTGCACTAGAGTGGTTTTTTTTTTAGGAAAATGGCAGTCCTCTCAAACGTTTTTATTTTCAGCGATCGTGTTTTGAATCGGTGTCTATATCTATAGTATAACGAATATAATATTCTGTGAAATTCTTTTTCGATTAATTGGTACCTAAAAAATTGTTCAGTTATCTGATCAAAGATTATGATATTATAATAATATATTAATATCTCAGTCGTTTAGCCCATTATAGATACATTTTTATGATTTAATTTTAAGATTCTGTGGCGAGTTATCAATATAACATGGTAGGTAACCGTAAAGTGGTTAGATAACTTGGATGGACGTCATTCTGACCCGTGCAAGATTAAGGGGGCAGAGAGTTCAAGTTTTTCAAACACGTATGTACAATAATTTTACAGTACCTATAATATGTATAAGTACTTATGTAGGTATGTTGATCGTAAACCTAGGTATTAATTATAATTTATATTTTAAAGGTGGAAAAAAATAAAAATATACCTGCCCCAGGGTGCAAATTTACTAAGTCCAGCCTTGATTACGATCACTGTAGAGTCTCATTCGGATTTAGTGATAAAATAATTATATTATGTCCAATTTCCGTATTCCTTATTCATTATCCATATGGTTTAAACGCCACGAGTTAAGATTTAAACCAATGCACCAAATATTAGGCGTATAATATTCGCTTCGGGATATTATCGTCATCGGCGTAAATAATGTTTACGTCAGCAAAACTTAATCACAAGACGTATATAGTGGGATGTTTTCTCGCGTCACGATCGACGACTTGGGGCTCGATTGCCATATAGGTAAGCGCAAAATATAATATATATAAATAAAAATATATAACAAGTGTCGGCGGTGGTGCAGGTGACTTTACGCGTGCACACAAATCTCTTTCTCCTATAATATAATAATAGTTTGACGGGTCAATAGAGAGATAAATATTCACGAACTTGCTCCAAGCGGTTATATTGATGTTTGCTCGCCTTATGACCTATCACCGGCCACCCTACACGGCCGGCTGACCGTTTCACCGTTAATAATATTATTATATATTGTGCAGTGTACGGCTATAGAGCCGTCCTTATATTATAATATTATATTATATGGCGTCTGTTTGTGTTGCCCTGCAGACCACGTCGCGATCGTCTCAACTATGTTATAGTGGGCAGGCGCTAAGCGACTTATTCTAACGAAAAACCTTCATAGCTATATTGCAGAGACTCGACTGACGCAGAATCGACCACGGCCAGTGTGTGCGTCACGATAGTAGAGCATAGGAAATTGCGAGAAAAAATTATCGAATTTCTGTCGTAAGTATATTTAATATTAATATATACATATTATTATTGTACTCAGTATAGGTTATTGGTACCTGGTACCTACATAGATTCTATGCGGATTGTTGCCCATTAAACCTGTTGTGTGTCCTGACCGTTCGCGTGTTCCGTGTTAATTAGACCAGTGTAACATATTTTTATGCATGCATAATGCATATAGGTACGTACATATATATGTGTTCGCAGAAGTTTGTCATAATTGATATTTACGTATTTATTTAAATTTTTTTCCCGCCCCGATACGCCGAAATGCATGCTCTAATACAACTATTACATACCTAGGTACCTATGTGTTATGATAATACATTTTTAAATTACACTGTATACTCGTTTGCGTGACGTTAAATTTGTATTTCTTATACGGTCGATTATCTCGATACGGACGAATTAATTACAAACTTCCCGTACACCAAATCGGGCACCCACCTGATCGCACAAGTCATCACCCCGCGAATAAGACACCACCATCCACCTCAGCAGTTGTATGTACAGATTTTCACGGATATAATTCACTATATAGCACCTGTTTCACACGTCTATTGCGAAACCACGTCGTCGTACCTACTTATATGTTATATATTATTATGTTGAGGCTTAATCCTCCTATATATGTATCCTCCTAGCTATTCCGAGCATCGTGTCGGCCGGTATAAAAAATATTGTTTTTCGATCGGACGCAACGAGCAAACGGCGCATTTGCGAAATAATAATAAAAAATTATAATAACAGCTGCAGCAGTCTGCAACTGTTGTAGTAGGCTGTTGCTGTTGCTGCTGCGGTGTAATATACTGCGCGGCGACGGAGACACGATGTCCCAATTATTGAGAACAATGCAGCGACGAAAGAAAGAAAATAATATAATATAAGAAAAAAAAAATTAAAACACATACGCAAACGCTCACACGACGTGGGTACCTATACCTATACACATTAATCGTCGTGAGAAACCCACATTGTTCCAAACTTCGGAGTCGATGCTGTAACGTCGTTACCAACAACTGCGCGGTCGGCTTATTAAAATATACCATTATTATATTAAGTGTGTACCCATATGATTGTTATATATATTGCGGTTCAGAACATATTTTATGGTACATATATGTAGGTACTACCAGTTTTGGGCTCGATGATACCTATTAATATTATTGTACGTACCGATGATAGGCGAGCTATGGTGGACAATAAGGGACTGCATTCGTATTGAATCTTGAACGTAAAATTTGGGGTACCGACTACTGTGGCTTAATATAATTTCATCACAGCACTAATAAACAATGTTAATGATAATATTTTTGTCGCGTTGATGTATCTTATCAATAATATTGTTCGGTTCTGCGATATCGGAAATATCCTATTTGCTGAAAAATTGGTTTGATGATAAAAATAATTATCGAAGATTTTTATAGGTAGGTCTCAATCAATATTCTTGTTGTATAAATATTATTATAGTATTTAAGCGTAGTTCAGAGCGTTGAAATATAAAAACTGGTATTCAAATGAATTTCAGACGAATAACACCGAGAGAATATTATAATATTTTTAAGTA